GGGCCTTCGCCCTCCACACAATATGCCAGCCCATTTATTTTGGGCTTTGCCGTTTTTTTTTATTACCCTCTAATGGGGTTTATACATATGTCTCCGAAATATAATAAAAATAAATTACATGTTTTCAGCATGTTGATGGGCATCTTCCGGTCTAACAGAAAGTGGAGACGGGAAACCTTGGTGGTCATGTTATCCCGTGGGATAGTGGAGTAGTGGAATAGTGGAGCACCTTCTTTTCGGCTTTTCCTTTTCTGCTTTCTGCTTTTCTTTCTGTTTCTTGACCCTGATGAATATGGCAGACAATAAATGATGGAAGATTTAATGATAAGAAAATAATTTTATCTCCGCTTTTGCTTTCTTCTTTTCACTTTCCTCTCTTTCTGTCTCTAAGCTGTCATGCATGTGCACCATTGAATCTGCAGGTTGGTCACAATGGTGATGCTTCATATTTTAGGGACAAATCTGCAAACTTATCACTGGATTTTCTGATGAGTTCGTTCCTTTTCTCGGAAGTTGATGCTGGCAGATTAATCAGTTTTTTTTTGTTTTTTTTTTATGCTCTTTTCTATATCATATTCACAACCATCAAGAACTTTGTCGAATCTGATCCCTCTCTAGCTTGAACCCAACTTCAATCATACTGAACAGAAAATTCTCCATGCCCTGGTGGAGCCGTTCATCCCTTGAGGAACGAGAATGAGCATGGCATAGGGAAGGGTGCCGAGGATGGGGAAGAACAAGCCTTCGATGATGTCGGGGCCGAGAATCTTAAGCAGGAGCTCGCAACCAATTCTTAATGCTAAATCAAGTAGAGCTCTAATAACGACAGAAAGCTTCAACCAGGACCTGGACGTCGAACTCGAACCCAAATCTGGAACCCGACCTTTGGGCGAAACCGAGAGCTAGAATCTGACCAGGAGCTGGAAACCGAGAGCTGGCTTCTCATCAGCCAGTCGAATAGCATCACCCTATTTTTTCTCCTGATTAGCTCGATTGCTCGTCGAACACCAGAAGAGCTTTCCAAAGGGAAATAGTACGTCGTCGTCGTCGTTTGGTGTTGACGAACTGTTCCACCGGGAAATAGTACGTCGTCGTTTGGTGTTGATGAACTGTTCAAACTCGAAGCTGCTCTGCGAATTGAAGCTCGAGCTCGCGCGAGTCCCTGCTCCAGCTTTTGCTCCCCGCTCGCTTTCTGTTTGGGATTTTGTGTCTTAGTGACGTCTGATTTACAAAGTCGCTACTGTGAAATTATTGAATAATACTGGATGGATCATCCGAGATGGTGAGCCGATGATACGTTCCCTTGAGCTTGCTTCGGAGATGAACCATCGGAATCCATGCAGAACTGTACCGATCTTGTTTGGAGTCGGATATTATCACTCGAGAATAGAAATGGTGGCCACAGATCACCACGACGGGGATGATCGACAAAATGCAGAAACAAAGCAGTACGGACGCAGAGAAGTACTTCGCATGGAAGCTCCCCATCTCAATTAGTATCAAGCGCTTCTCTATTTTGATTTTTTTTTCTAGAGGAATGGAATTGAATGTTTGGTTGCCAAAAAAAATAGAGAGATGGGTAGAGAGATGGGTGGCGGGCTTCGAGGAAAAGAAAGTGATGGGTGGACAGGGGTATGTGGGTTCTTGGGAGGTGAAGCAAAACCATATCTAAAGATTTTTGTTATTTTGATTTTTTGTCTATGATTTTGGAGCAGCCATGGGAGCAGCCTGTTGAGATCTACTGTGTTTTGGTGGGGGTTTCTGTAGATTCACGGATGAGGTGAAAAAATGAAAGAGAACCGACACAACTTTTCGTATCGATTCCCACAGACGGCGCCAAATGTTGATGCACAAAACCAGAGGTCTTGGTACAACGTAAATCCGACCGTGAATCTGCATGAAACGTAAATAACACAAGATGTATCGTGGTTCACCCCAAGGTTTGAGCTACGTCCACACTGATTGTATTATATTTCTCTGAGAAGTGAGGGAGAGAGTGTGAGAGCTTTGCTCTAAATAGAAGAGGCTTAGGGTTTGTGAGGGTGAGGAGGCCCTTTTATAGAATAAGGGCTCCTCCCTTAATTACATATTTTCCCCTTCCTTTATTACATAATTACATTTGAGTCCCCCGAGTATTTATACGAGGTCTAAATACGGAGGCCCTAAATATGGTATAAACAATTGTTATTGTCCATTTAAAAGTGGGTGATAAATGATGGATAAATGTTGTTATGCATGTGGCTCGGAATCGATCAAGATGGTCTGGTGAGATGCATGCATGGTAGAAGAGGTGTGAAAAGTCATGATGCATGGATGGGATGAAATTATGAGATGAAATGAATTTAATATTCATTTAGATCAAGCCTAGGAATATAGGTTTTTTGGTGATGTGATGATAAGGTAGGCTAGGTTTTTAATGCATGTTTCTCGGGTTGGTGCTGTGAAGATGGATGGAGGAAAGCAAGTGGTGAAGCCACGTCACCAAAGATCAAATGCAATCCTTTAAAGATCAAGTCACGTCAGATACATGGGAATTTTAAATAGGACTCTACTCGAGATACAGGTCGTGCCAAGCAAGTACATCAGTCCTAAATACAGATGCAATGGCAACGGAAGAGGACATCCAACTCAACACAAAAACTGCCGTGCGCAAACCCTCGCTCTACCCGAAACCTCTCAACAACCTTGAGGTTTTTATTTTCCTTTTTCGCCAATACATCTTCAGTTTGGATAAACAGCAATGTGAAGGCAACCGGCGAACATCTTCAGTTTGGATAAACAGCACTGTTGCCGTAGAATCAGCCGACCATGAAGCACCTTCAGTTTGGATAAACAACACTGCGACAGGGCCGACTGGTTATCTAAGTCTCGGTCGAGAAGGATTTTCGAATCCTTATTGGCCCAGGTTATTTCATTAGCCTTCTTGGCGAAGTGAGGTGTTACAAGTTACTATATTCGGCACATTGAAAGCCGAACTTGATATTGAACTTCGCAGAACTAGCAACCTTGTCTTCAGGCTCTAGAACCCGAAGGCCGAGACGTGTTCCTTCCTCGGCCATAGTCGTAAGATCAAGAAGTCAGCAGCACACCCAACGCAACATCAACACATTTTACTCCTCTGCCGGGCTCGACCGACGAGTTGGCATGCCCCGCACATAACCGAATGATGTAGTTAGCTCATTAGTTACTCAGCCTGTGCGCCGCATAGGCTTGGTAGTTTTTAGGGTCAACAGAACCCCATATCAAATTGAACTATACTGCTTACTTTCAAGTTGAAGATATAATTTGCACCTCATTTTGTACAAGAAAATATCAAGATATTCATCATTAAAAGATAATATCATGATTAAAACCACAATATATCCTCTAATTATCTTAACAATTCTGCTATCCAACGGTTGAGAATTGTGTTCATCAACGACCTTCATTACACGGGCCGATGGTGTAAATTTAGGTCCAAACATTGCTCCCCAGTTTCCTTGAACTTCGGCTCGTAAGCCGAATGGTTAAGGAAATTAGCGTAATCAAAGAATTCTCGTATCTTCGATAATGAAACTTTGTTCCTCGGCAACAACATATATATATATATATATATATATATATATATATATATATATATATATATATATGGCAGGCCGAATGACCCCATGGTCGAGCACCAGTACTCCAGGCCGAATGGTCATAGAAATTTATATTTTATATATATATATACACACACACACACATGGTAGGCCGAATGACCCCATTGTCGAGGACCAGCACTCGGCAATAATACCTCGCCGAGCTTGGGAATGTTCCTCGGCCTTAAAATCACTTCTGTTTTGCCAATGTTGTAAAGCTGGGTCGAGGTCAATAAAAACCGTTCCTGGGGCTCTGTTGCCTATATATACATATGTATAAAAGTAGCATGATTGTCTGATGTGATCCGCCAGCCATGCAGTTGGCATATATATATAACCAAGGCCATAAACTCAAACTCAAATCTTGGCCTATTGGCTGTAATGATGATATCTGCCATGCATGTCTCTTCGACTTCGGCACAATGGTTGGCCAAACCCAGGCCTGGTTCCATTTTTTTTTTTATTTTTTTTTTTATTTTTTGAAGAACCGTCACCTCTCTTTCTGTCTCATGTGCTGTGATGTTGTTGATGGGCCATCTGACACACTTAAAGTGGATGCTGACTTGCAAATGGGGCCGAGGAAAATGAGGCTGAGTTAAGCCGTGTGATGCCATCTTTTGGATTGCCGCATATAAAATGTTGCCCCCTTATTTTCTTATGCCTCGGCTAAACAGCCAAATGGTTAAGAAATAAAATCCTTATTCGTGACAGCTCGGCCTATTGAGAAAACTGGCAGCTCGACCAATCAAAGTCAGCAACGCCAATTATACCATCTTATTAAGCATCGGCTGAATAGCCGAATGGTGAGAAAATAAATTTTTTTTTTTAAGAAACAAAAATGAATGGTCGAACCATAATCAAGCGAAGACCAACGATGCTTTATTCCAAGTCGAGATCTTTTAATATCAAAATTCTCAAATTGATTTCGCTATAGGCCGAATAAAGAATTTTCTCCAAATATGTTTTCCTTGGTGAAATATTTTTCATTTTCGGCCGCTGAATGTGTTAAACAATTATTATGCCCCCCAGGCATAATTACTTCCGACTTTCAACTCGAACAACTTAGCCAAACAGGATTTCTCCATATCGACTATATCACCAATAATCATATCGATTGGCGTGGTTTGTTCAGCTGAAACCATGAATTGGTCTTGTTCGTCAATGGAACACTTTTCTGCCGAATCATTGTCTAAGTCAATTTGTGGCTCAGAAACTTGAATTTTTTCTTCTAGGCCTACCATACTTTCAGTCTCGATCGAAAGAACAAGTGACCTAAGTTCTTCGGCCGTCTCGACAATGTTCTGAGGCCGATGGTGTAAATTTGGGTCCAAACATATATGTAAAAAAACGTAATAAATAACATAGAAGATCCTTATAATGTAGTTGCAACTAAAAGATATATAAAAAGTGTAAAAACAATTCAAGAACTTCAATTGACCTTGATACACTTGACAACAAAACATATCATGAACTCATATTGTTCCGTCCTATAGTCTGTACCCCAAAAAGCTAGTGCGTGATCGTTTTTCAACTATTTGCAAGCAAAACCCCATATATAGTTCCACAAAATCTTGGCTAATTGATGTCCAACTCTCTGCAAAAGAAGAAAAGATTTTCAAATGGATTATGGAACTAAAACAACGCACCATTCCACCAATTTTGATTTAAAACTATGAGCAACTCATTGGGAGAAAAATGATGAAAACAATAGACTATTGAGAAATCTTTTTTGGACGATTCAAAAGTGAATAGCATAAAAAAGACAATTTAATTTTTAATCTTATACTCTAATATTTTATAGGTGAATCCATTATCCGTCATGTGTGGTTTTTATCATAATCCTCTTTCTCCTTTACATTTGGCAGTTGTGTAGATTTGCATCTCTAGTAAAAAAATTCTTCTGTTGTACTTTGTTTGTTGACAAGTATTTTGCAAAAAAACAAATAAGCATCGGTGACAAAGAGCAAATGAAATACATACCTTAGAACAATTATTCCCATCATCACAACCTTGTTGGTTCGATATATGTTTCACTAAGAGGAATAAAAAATCATGAAAATTAGTCTCAATATAGAGGTCAAGCAACATTTAACAGTAAGGAGAAAAAGAAAAAAAGTATCATAAAATATAGGACCAATTGAAATTATGGAAAGAAAAGAGGAATAAAACTCAGTTATCTTCACAAAAGAAATTTTATCATCACAATGGAACACTCAAACACACGGTAAACCTCATCTTACTATTTCACAGCAGAATAAGTAAATCTTTTCCTTCAAGTTGAATGCTCTCCAAATGGAGAAGAGCTTGTTCTTGGTCTTTTAGAATTCCTCTGGACTCATGTAGAAAATCTCAGTTTAAGCCCTTCAACCATCCTTACAATTAGTCAGTCTCTTCCTAATTTCTTCCTCCATCCCAGACATATGCTCTCTAAAAACTACAAATTCAATGAACACACCTTCCTCATAAATACGATTTGTCAACAATATGCTCCCTAAACAAATAATATTGAACACTAAAAAATGTCAGGTTAGTTCTATAGTATGCAAGGAGTAATAGTTCTAGTCTTACCTATTGGGAGAATAATGTAAATTTGTGAGGGCAAATCATAGAGACAAAAGATCGAAACAAATGGCTTACTAATTGAGTCGACTCCCATCTGAAACAAAGGAAGCATGCCAACAGGCAACATACCTGAAAAAGCAAATGTTAAATAAGAAGAAATATTGGAGAATCTATATACATGAAATATTCAGGATTTAAAAAACATAATCTTCAAAAGCGAACAATGACAAAATCACATACAATGATTCAGAAGAGCCTGAATCATGTGATGTACCTTGTCCTTTCAGATGAGCTTGCATCCTGCAAGAGGACCAACACTGAAGACTTGAGCAAGAAGCTTATCACCCATTCAAAATTAATTAGAAACAAAATGAAATTTGAGCAATTGATCTTTTGCAAGGCTGACATGCATACAATTCAGAGACGATGGTTTACCTTTTTGTTTATAGAAGTTCAAAACATAATCTTGAGAGACAATGAGATTTTGGTAAACCGAGGAAATTTGATTAAAAAGGGATATGAAAATGAAATTGGAGAAATTTGTGGAAACGTACAGCGGCTTTCAAATGCCCCTGCAGAATGTGGAATCGTTGGAGAAAACTACTTCTATCTCTAGCTTTGGCAGTTTATCTTTCGTCTTCTATTTGAGGGTTTACCACATTCTTTTTTCTTTTTTTTTAATGTTGATTTTTTTTCAATAAAATGAATTATAAATTTATGTTTTTTTGACAAAAATACCCCTGCTATTTTGATTGCATTATTTTCATTCAGTTTTAGAATTTTTTTGTTTGACGGTTATTTTAGTCCAATTATTTTTGGTGAAGCATTGAGACACCAAAGTTGTCTTTTGGCTTTCTAATATTAGAGATTAGAGATTAGAGATTAGAGATAAAAATAAATAAATAAAACTTCAATTTTAAAATTTATATAGAATAATATTTAATAAACAATATATACATATTCATTATATCTATTATATTTTATAGTAAGTTTTTTTTAGTAGTTTAAAAAATAAAAATCATCAAAATAATTTTTTTTCTTATCGTGTCGAAACAGGTTACCCGCGTGTCACTCTCGTGTAAACCTGTTAAGGACCCGTTATTAACAGGTTATTATCGTGTGATCCAATAATGACCCGATTAGTTATCGTGTTGACCCGAAACCAGTTATTTTCATGTCGTTTACGTGTCTTGTTAACAGGTCGTGTAAGAAATTGCCAGGTCTAGGGCAGACAATCCAAGTCCTAATATGACAAAGCTTTTTGCTTCTAGTGACCCCTTTTGAATTTCGATAAACCATACTCCAAAAAAATCTTGGGTCTAACTAGGGATAGGCAAAATACACATGGGTTTGGGTAACCGTGGTTACCCGCCCATTTAATGTTCACAGTTACGATTGTGGGTAACCGTTTAAACGAACAAACGGTTATGGGTATAACCGTTTATCTGTAAAATTTAAATGGGCGATTATGGATATTACTCGCGGTTATAACGGATATCCATTTACCTATTTAATATATATATAACCATTTAAACGGACAAACGGTTATGGGTATAACCGTTTATCCGTGAAATTTAAATAGGCGGTTATGGGTATTACCCGCGGTTATAACGGGTATCCATTTACCTATTTAATATATATATATATATATATATATATATATATATATTGTACACTCAAAAATAAAATAGAATATATTATGTACCACTGTGATGTGACGTTGACGATCATCAGGACCTTCCCTTTGTAGGTGCTAATGCACATTCAGAAAGAAAATAGAAGATATTGTGTACCACTACGATGCGATGTTGACGAGGACCTTCCCTTTGTAGGTGCTAAGATATATATATATATATATATATTAGAGAGGAGGACTAAGGATCGCTTTTGTTTGCTTGTTTTTTTCTTTCTAATAACTGAGTGTACAATGTAAACCTTCTGTGACCACTTACATCTGCTGGATTCATGCTAATTGGTGTCGGTGTTCCTAAATGGGATACTAATTCAATTTAGACATTTATTTTGTAGGCCTCTTTTGGTGACAACAAGTCGATAAGACTTTGTGATTGAACGTGCTAAAGCATTAGTGTTCGAAAGTGTTTAGTTTCGAAATATTTTGGAGCTTTGAATCATCTAGTATTCAAGATAATGACTACTATTTGTTTTTAGAAGCTTTACTTTGTAATCATATGGATTATAATGAAAGACTTGATTGGGTGTAGCAGAAAAATATCATTCGTAAACTATTATTTTAATTATTGGAATTGTACGAGGACTTAAATAATTAAAATAGGGAAATGCATGCTAAATGTACCTATAACTATGTTTGATTGTCAGAAAACGAAAATTATGACAAATTTTTCTTTTGTAATTTTCAAGTTGTTAAAAAAAATGTAGACGAGTGAAGAAAGGGGTAAATGAGTAAAAAAAAATATAAACGGGTTCAAAAACGGATAAATGGTTATGGTTAAATGGGTAAATAGCTATGGTTAAATGGGTACACGGTTATGGGTATGGGTATAACCGTTTATGCAATTACCTAACGGGTAAACGGTTATTCGGGTATGAACATAAACGGTTATAGGTAAATAACCGCGGTTACCCACCCGCCATAACCGTTGTCCATCCCTAAGTCTAACTGGTCGTACATTTTTTGTCTATTTCTCCGGTCATACATATAAGATGATAGAGACCGTTTACATGATAGAATCTCACTATATGCAAACTTAGACAATCACATATCTGATTTGACTAGAGCAATATACTCTAATTTAGGTAAAGCACTATGCTACCCTCCTACTCGTATTTAGGTAGAATATTGCTTGAATGAAAAGAGAAAAATATTCATATTACTTACGTGAATAGTACTTTTAGTTTTCTTTCCCTATATAGGAGGGATACGTGAAATTAGAAATTGTATGAAACAGGTTGATTCCTCATTTTCTTTCTTTCCTTACCGAGGATCGTCCAAGGGTTTTCCAAAATACAAAGATTTTCTTTCAAAAATTGAAATGCCACGTCCCAGCCAACTTTCAGGGTTATTTTTAAGGCGAGCGATCCCAATAGGCAAACATTCATGACCGCTATAGATGGAATATAAGCTTGCAATGGTAAATTTCCATATTGGAACATCCAAAATAGCACCTTTCCTATAATAAGGGCCAGCCACAAGAGGATAGGATATTGTTTATCTGTAACCCAATTCATCAAACATAGAATGTTGATTCCATTCCAACGGAAATTAAAATACCAAACACACTTCGTCCGCCACTACTACCAACCAGCCATTTAAGCACTGCCTTGGTTTGGTGCCCGACATGAATCGCTTTCAACCAACTCCATTTCATTTGCCGACACTAGTCATCCCTGCTGGTAATTTAATTCACTAATTCTTTCGTTTTTTTATTGCTGATAAAATTGGGGTTGTATTGATGGTTAACCTAGTTTTAATCTTCAAAAGTTTTAATCTTTTGTTTCTTTAAATTGATTATTGCAGATGAGTGCCAGAGTCACTGCAAATCCTACATTTCTCATCTCTTATGGCTCTATATTTGGCCGTAAGAATCGATCCCACCTTTTTCACTATGCTCTTTGGATCGATGCTTACGGCCAAATACAAAGCCATGAGAGATAGGAGAAATGTGGAATCTGCAATGACTCTGGCACTCATATGCAATAATCAATTTAAAGAAACAAAAGATTAAAACTTTTGAACATTAAAACTAGGATTAACCATCAATACAACCCGAATTTTATCAGCAATAAAAAAACAAAAGAAAGAATTAGTGAATTAAATTACCAGAGCAAGGACAACCGGTGCCGGCAAATGGAATTGTAGTCAGCCCAAAGCGATTCATGTCGGGCACCAAATCAAGGCAGTGCTCAAATGGTTGGTTGTCAATAGTGGCGAACGGAGGTATGTTCTGGTATTTTGATTTCCATTGGAATGGAATCAACATTTTATGTTTTGATGAATTGGGTTACGGATAAACAATATCCTATCCTCTTGTGGTTGACCCTTATTATAGGAAAGGTGCTATTTTGGATGTTCCAATGCAATCTTATATTCCATATGTAGCAGTCATGAATGCTTTCCTATTGGGATCGCTCGTCTTAAAAATAACCCTAAAAGTTGGCTGGGACATGACATTTTAATTTCTGAAAGCAAATCTTGGTGTTCTGGAAAAAACCCTGGATGATCCTCAGTAAAGAAAGAAAATGAGGAAGCAATCCTTTATGCCTCTTTCATACAATTTCTAATTTCGCACAACGCACGGACAAATTTTTTTTAGTAATTCTTAGGATAGGGATTCTTCTATGTACTCCTAAAACTATGGAGTCAGAAAGAACTTCCTAACATTAATTATCAATATTTTAAATAAAAACTCTATTCTTATTGGTCCATAATTACTGACTTCCTAAACTAGAGAGTATGATTAGAAATGGTTTCCAAGACCAGTAATTTCATATCAAAACAATTAGTACCACTGGGGCGCTAGACTAAAGATCACTGACTACAACAAGGTTCCTGTAACAAGTACTCGGCATCATCATTTGCCTTTCCGGCGAGGTTTCAATGCAGCACAATCTGTACAATACCACTTTCCTCTTGGTTTGTCCTTCAGACCAACACACCCAAAATGGAACCACTCTATCTTGCACTGTTGGAGGAAAAAACTAAAATTAGGTAATAAAGTTGAAAAGACTTTTAAACAAGAGAAAATATAGAATAGGGGAAAATTGCATACATTGGGGTTCTCGCATGCAACCATCTCCCCATAGCTAACTTGGTTGCATAAACAGTACGTGGGTTCATTTGGATCCACTGGTATATCTAAATCCATAGCTGTAGGATTGACAGATGCAATTGCTGCTGCTGCCGCGGCCGTTGCTAGTCTTGTTCTGGAAAAAAAAAGAAAAAAGCATCACTAGGTTCCAGAGAGAACAAAATGAGAACATATATACTTCACATTTCATGCCAACGAAACATTCCCAAAACAACATGAAGGCAGGAAAGTAGTTTCAAAACCCCGCAGTTAATAGTAAAAAGAGCTCTAGTGTTGAGCATCTATAATTCAAACATGGATGCTCTCTAGAAGTGTTTAATTATAGCTAAGAGGAAGGTAGAAGCATGAAATCAGAAAATCAACTCAAAAGAATATAATAAATGAAACATTAAGAATAGGTAGATACTTCTTACGCCCTCCTCGACCACCTTCACTACTCTTTCCAGATTTTGCACCACTATCGGGACTTGGAGCAGGCAACGCACTCGCAGCAGCGCTATCTCTTTCTGCCATAAACCAATTAACCAAACAAAATTAGGGAAAATACATGCCTAAGGAAGAAATAATTATGTCCTCATATGGTAATCTTAACTGTAAAATAAAAGACTTGAACCCTATAGTATAAACTGCAAAATTCAAAGACTTGACAAGGTGGAAAAATAATAACAGTAGAGTACCACGCAGCTCTTCCTCAAAAGTTTTCAAGTACTGATCAAGTTGTTGTATGTGCGTATCCACCTGAACATTATTACAGAATTTCAAATAAATATTCAGAGATATAAAAAAAACTCTAAAACCTGGAAAAACAACCTAGTGCAGTATGTATAGGGCAAGATGCAGCTCCATGTACCAGATCATATGCCCGTACAGCCAAAAGAACCTTTTCGTCTGCAATCCCAATGCTGTGCTTCTGCTCATCAAGAGCCTCATCTGAGAATCTAATAAGGGAAGTATCAGGTGTAATATTCCCAGACTTAATTTCGCGCTTTATGTCCTCAATTTCTTGTTCGCAGCGTTGTTCATTTTGTCTCTGGATATCTGTTCATATACATAAGAAACAACATTGTACTTGACAACCCCCACAAAGCATTTTACTTTGACAGGTTT